CATTTTTCACATTCCTGTGCTGACAAGCCATTATTACTATGCATCATCAACTGTGATGAAAGCACTTGACTCTGTGTCCTTGGGTTATACCAGTGAGATATTAGAGGAAAGATGTTCTAGTTAAAATTTTTTTTTTTGGAGGACACATACAATTCAGTCATACAGTAATGTCAACTCAGAGCAAGAAAGATAATGGAGTAACTGTTGCAGGGAAAAACTCAGAGATCTAAATTATCTAGAAAGCCCCTATCCCTGGGATGTCAAACTCTTAGCCTGCTGATTAATTACTCTGGTCTCTGTACCAGATTATGGTTCTACAGGAACTCGAGCTTTGATATAGGAACAGGTATACTTCTAGCTATGTGATTATGAATAAAATCTTTTGAAAATGTTTTGAAGCAGTTCTAGCTTTTCAAGCCTACTGATGTGTTATTCTGATATTTCTGAGAATTGCAAACTATCCTATTCATTTGATTAGATTTAGGTTTGGAAAACATAGATGATGATACCAATAAATATAATAATTTTAAGAAGTGCAAGTTTAACAACTTTTGGAATATCCTTATCACCAATCTGTTTCCTGTCATTCTAAAACATGAATTAGCTTGCTGCTGATTTTAAAGCAATGCTGATATAAAACCAGAACTGAAAAAGAAACAAGTTAAATTATGAGAATTAAGTGTTACATGCTTACAAATAGAGTCATAACTAGTGTAATCCCATATACAATCATATTTTTGCAATTTTCTAGAAGTTCTGATCTTATTTATCCTTATCACTTTAATTATCATACTTAATTTATTTCCAATAAGCAAAGATGTTTGAAGGACCAGCTTCAAGAAGGTTGGAATCTAATGGAGAAAAATGAGATTTTCATCTCTATTTTGTAGCTACTGTAGGCATGGACAAACATTTAGTTTATCTGTTATAAATTCTCATAATTATATAAGCAAATTAAGGTCTACAACTGCACTTTGATTTTTAAAACCAACAGGCAGTACTATTAATATGCAATTTAACCTCCTGTATAACACTAACCATGTTTTCATCTAGAGTTTTCCCTGATTTATCAAATAGTTTTAAGCTAAACTAAAGCATATCTGTTGGGAAAAAAAATAGCCTCTATTTAAAGCCCTTAACTGATAGAGAATTTATCACAGTCTTTGGTTATCTGTTCAATGGTTAATTACTCAATCATTTTATTTTAATTTTAACTTCACTAACTTCCATTTTGCAGCACGTAATGCTGTTTTTTTTCTACTAGATTAGAACTTTCTGTTTGTGTTCTTGTAGGTAATTAAAGAACATGATCAAGCTATTTCTTAAGCTTGTCTCTGATAAATTACATTAATTAGGCTCCATTTGGTCACTCAATGTAAGTGTGTAATCAGACAATTCCTTTAGGAATCTTTCATGGCCAATCCAAACAAATATGAAACAATTTGCTTTCATCAATATTGAGTGAAAATGAAATCATTACATACTCAGATATGAGTTCAAACATCTTGTGAGGACTTGTAATGAATTTTAATGGTAAAGTAATAAGTGGCATTAAAAAAAAAAAATTAGCTACTACCTTTATAAAGAGAAGGATGAGGGATTCTCATCCTGAAATAAAAAGCAAACTAAATATTGTGGAGAAAACAAACAACTGATAAAGAATTTGAGTGATAAAAAAATTACCTTTAAGTATAAGGTGTTTCTGAACAGAGATGTAGAAAGATTATCTGAAGATCTCAAGAGCTTTTAAGTGATAGTGGAAGAAATTGAGTCCTTCTCATATATCTTCATCCACTAAAATGAAATAAAAAAATAAATAAGAGTGCTTGTGCATCATCTTATGGTACATTTATGGAGTTAATTTATTTTAGAGTATTTAAAATCTTAATTTATTTTCAGAGAGGAGCTAAAAAAGCAATAAAGTTATTACTGTGATAGAGGGTGATATAAAAATTAGCTATCTCATAGAAAAATCCTGTTGTGATACAGGCTATGGTTTCAAAAATTAAAGAATAATTTTTTCCCCTTTGGAATTACTTCTTTGAGAACACAACCATTCTTGCCAGAGTTTGAAGTTTACATGAATAATACACATAGATCCCATTTCCTAATATGAATGTCTTTTCTGTAATTTATTGCTGTTCTGCCTCAGTGCTGCAACCTATATACCATGTTATCTTTATTACTATTCAAAGTTCATTGATGTAGAAGATAAACCATATTTCAGCTCTGTTAATATTATTTTCTCTCTTGATATTTGCAGGTACATTGTTTTTCAAAATACATTTAAGAGAAACACCTTTATAAAATAGAGGTGACTGATCTTTGTCCTAATTGCATATTTTAAAATATAAAAGTTGCATCTGTTGATTTTGCTCAGGGTACATAAAACAAGGGGATTATGGACTGGTGCAGCTGTTTTCCTCTGTTGTGTAAATCCTCCTCAGTTCAGAGATTATTGATCTGAAAGACATAACAGCTCCTTTGGGGGCACTGCAGCCTAGTGTGTGATGCAGTTACCACATAGGGCAATAAGTCTACCTGCTAATAACCTTTAAGAAACTCTGCCTGGAGGAAAAAGTTACTGAACCTTGCTAAGGAGAAGTTCCTCTCAATTAAATATCCCTATTATACCCACAAGGACCTATATAACAGAGTTTGGATTATTAGGATTGAGAAAAAGTAGGGAAGAAAGGAAGAGAGCTCAGAAAAAACATTTTCTTATAGGTGTGTTTGGTTTGGGTTTTGGTTGTTTGGGTTTTTGTTTTACAGTTATAAAGCCTTAGAACTATGTCATTTAAAGAGAAAAGATACTATGGAAGTACATCCAGAAACAAGTCACGTTACAGACTCAGTTAAACAGTGTAATATCATTCATTACACATGCTTGAAAAGATTCATTCATGCCAGGATTCAAGATGGATTTTTTTGTTTTTTCCTCAGAAAACAAAGTCTTCTACTTTTCAACTCCACTTTTTCTCTGACCTGAAATTGGAAGCAATGCTACAAAGGGAGCTCAAAATGCAATAGCTATTGCAGTTATTGATCACGATGAATAGCAAGGAAAAGTATTTCCAAGCATGGACTGTATCCTGAAATTTAAATTCCTAGTTTGCTGACAAAATACATTTTATGCTTAAATTCTTAGTGCAATCACATAAAAGGAATGTAGGGTTATAAGAAGTAGCTCCTAAAAATAGATGCCATTTAAATTAGGCAGCAATTTTGTAACAAATCTCTGTTGTCCTTTGGGAAACAACACAGATGATTGAAATTCTGAAACAGATTGATAGAGAGAAGTTTCAGATAGACTCCAACTGTCTTGCAGGTTGCAATAATTAGACAGTGCCTGATACACTGATGCAATTACTGCATTCTTTTGGCCAGGACCATTTTCAGAGATTGTGTACTAATAAAAAATCACACTGATGCTTTCATAAACTTGTAATTGTGAACTTCAAACAAGTCTTTTTCTTCTAGTCAGAGCCTACACATTCTCCTTGTCTCCAGCTCTGGAGACCGTTGCCTGATGTTCTTGACTTTCTAAGTCATTATCAGACTTTTATTCTGGCTTGCTGCTTTCTGCTCAGACTTTTTCCTCCTTTCTCTGAGCAACTGTTAAAAGCCAAATCATACGCAGTCTTCTAGAGCAAACATGATACATACTTTTATGTTACTAGGAAATTGTGAATTAAAAATGAATAATTTCCCTGGAAAACTTGCTAGATATTTCTATGGTATTTCAGTATTTATTTGTATTTAATTATTTATTTTTAATACTTATGTGTTAGGAGGATTTTTTACTTTAAAAAGAGGGGTTAATGCTTGTTTTCTTTAGCTAACTTGTAGCCATTCAAGGCTTGCTTTCACTTTACCCAGAGCTTGCAGCAAAGGGGTGTGGCAATGGTTTTTCACTTAGTTTGGGGCATTTGTAATTTAGAGTCTAGCATAAACAAAGTCCTAGAGATGGAGGCTGCCGACACACCAACAGAATACCCTATCTCTTACATTCTTTTTGTTAATAAATCAGTTATTCTGACCTCTTAATAAAACCCAGCCTTACATGAATTTTATTTAGCTCCATCAGGTCCTCCTTTAAATTAAGGTAGTGGTAATGGAAATAGGTTTTTAGCACCATGTGATTTTCAGTATCAGTTAACTCAGGTTCTTCCCATACTTATACAACTTTCATACATGTGCACATTTTAATTTTATGTCTGATAGGCTAATATAGGGATGCTCTTATTTTTAAATAAAATTAGGCTTGTGCATTTATTTCTAGTAGAGTGGAATGGATGAAGGAAATAGGGAGGGTCCATTTCAGAATTTTGTGTCTCCCTTCCTGATTAGAGAATGTACTGAAGGGGCTGCTTTTTATCCAGAGCCCTTCAGAAACTGATCTGAAATGAATACATGAAGCTTGGAAATGGATCCTGTGAAATGAGTCCTACAATTTTCAGGCTGTACAATAGCAGAATTATCCCTCAATAATGCCAGGGATACTGCACAAAAAGGACAGCTTCAACCCACTGAACTCGCCTACAGGGAAAAAAAAAAAAAAAAAAAAAAGAAATCCATTAAAAGGCAAACTTCTGTAGTTAAAATAGAAAAGCTTTTTCTTCCAAATTGGGGCTGCTAAACTAAGCTCAACTTTGCAGCTAAAATGAAATGGTTTAATCCTACACCACATGAAAGGAGAATGTCAGCAATTAAGTCAGACTAGAAAGCTTTGTTAGTGAAGGAATGCCTGGCTGGAACTTGCCCTCAAAGGCTTTACAAGGGAAACAGTCATTTATTTATGCAATCTCTTGACGAAATACAAAAGAAATAAACTGATAATGGATTGGCACTTCAGGGGAACCAAAGGCTTTTAATAAAATTGCTCTGGACCACCCTCCTCCTCTTAAATATCAAACTTTCTCAGAGGTAACCTTCCAGTAACCTTGCTGGGATGCATGGCAATGCGATTCACCAGGACACCCCCATTCTTCTCTTTTCAGGCTCCTGCTCACACGGCTATTGGCAATGTCAGAACGGCAAGTGTTACAGACCAGAACAAAGCTGTGATTTTGAAGACAACTGCGGGGATAATACAGACGAGAGTGAATGCGGAACTTCCTGCACCTTTGAGAAAGGCAGATGTGGCTGGCAAAATTCCCTGGCAGACAATTTTAACTGGGTGCTGGGGGTCAGCTCGCCTCAAAGTCTTAGACCTCCTGGGGACCACACGCTTGGAAATAGAACTGGTATGTTGTCAGTTCACAAATGAGATGTAATTGTCTTCATGGAGCTTCTCATACCTCCCTTCACGGGCAGCAGGGGGCTTCTAACGTGTGTAATCAGGGCGTCATTTTTAATGAATTAAATGTGTAATGATATCAAAATATTAATTACCGTTGTAAAATGAATTTAAGTTAGGAAAAATTGATTCTTAATTGTTTCTCCTTTAAGTATTGCTGTATGAATCAAGCAAGATAATTTGTAACTTGTCAGGAGAGAGGCACTTGGTCTGGCTGCGGCTTGCAAGGGTGAGTTAGCTCAGCTCTGAGATCCACTGGGTCCTGCTCCTCCAGAGCTTGAGCTTATTTCCAGGAAGCTTAAAGTTACCCATAGTGACAATTCATAGTTTAATTTTAGGTAATTTTAAATAAATAAATTTAAATAAATAAACCTCCTTTGTCAGTAGTAGTGCAGGTCCTGGTTTGTTTTGGCCAAAGCACCCAGTTATCTGTTCTTGTTTTGCTACAAGCTCTGTGCCTTCATCCTCTGCCTCTGAAGGTCCCATAACTCAGGCAAAGATGTTACCAAAGCTGAGCTCAGAACTGATCTTAAATTGAAATATTCCACGGCAGAGTTGCACAAAGGCGTGGGACTTGGATTTAGTAGTTGTTGAATGTTTACATGACCTACTGAAGGGCAAAACCCAATAAACCCAAAGTTTGCTTGAAGATATGTAGAAACTCAGGGGCTAGTGAAAGCTTGCCAGGGTGACTGAGGGTGAAACAGGCACAAATAATCACAAAGATTATGCATTCATATGTTTGTAAATTTTGAGACAGTCCAGCCTGGCTGCATTTCACTGATCTCAGAGTAAGACGTAGTACAAGAGAACTGCCCTCTGACATGTCCCTGTCTTTCATCTGGCTTTTAAAATAGCCATTTCTGTTAGAACACAGATTTATGTATCTCCATGGTATATATGTTTAATCTGCTCCACATATGAATAAAATTGCTGCTGATCTAATTCTCAAGCCTGGAAGTTTATCCTATAATCTCGAAGTTAATTGGTTTTGTTGTGGTGAGTGATCAAATAGGTCACATTCTCCATTTCTTACTCAAGAGCTGCTCTATAGTCTTGAAATTGTGTTCTCAAATAAATATATTTAAAATTAATTTCACTTTTCACAATTTTAATGTGGTGAAATTTTTAAAGGTGAAGGTGGTGTCTGGCCATATTGTTAGAACTGATAGCACTTAATAATCATGTTCATTATGAAAGAACCAAAACAAAATTAAGCTCAGCTGTTAAAATTTTGTCATATGTGGTAGAGGATACTGCAGTATTCAGTGATCGGTCCTTGTACAAAGACGAATTTCAGCGCTTACTTCCAAAACCACAGCTCTTGAGCTTACATCTAGCAACTGCTTAATTCTAACTCCCCTATTAGCACCTCCATTCTCAACATTAAAATGTTGAAAATTTGCTTATGACTGGAACTACACCATTCTGGTTGGAATTAAGTGATTTGTCCTATTATCTCCTAGCCAAGCTTGACTAAATGTGATCAGTCCACTGTCCCACAGTGCTGGTCCCAGTCATTCAGATCAAGGGGCCTTTCAGTGTCCCTTGCCTGCCACCTCAGTCAGTCAAGTTTCCTTCCACAGAAGACTATGAAAGTTTTTGGGGTTGGGTTGCTTTGCTTTGGTTTCCTCCAAACAGAAGTCATTTGCCTAATATTAAACAGGCGTTAACAAACATCAGCATGCCCAGCACTCAACCCAGTCTAGCCACCTCTTCCTAGTAGACTTTGATATGGCATGCTTTTTATATCTTGTATTCTTTAAGTACATCGCTTTTTTTAACACACAAAATAGCAGATGTAGAAAAAATAAGTTTATTTGCATTTTCTAATTATATATAATTTTTTAACTATCACCATGAAAATGTCACTACACTTGTTAAGTATATGCTTAACCTCAGGGAAAAAGCAAATTTCTCATCCCATGAAATTATGGCAAACATATATGGTTGTAACTTAGCCAGAGAAGTGTCAAAGTTAGAATGAACCCATTTTACTCTATCTCTAATTGTGTAAAATTTTTTTCTCTAATTCATATGCAAACTTTAGTAGTTGTGCAATTATAATTTAACAGTGTGTTATTTATACTACACTTATGTTTACGTGAACTACAGTTTTGGGTTTTGTACCAAGGAAAAACATGAATTTGAAAACTTGCAGAATTTATTATACTTCTGATTAAAAGTAAAAATGGAAAACTCAAGGACCATATTAGTGTTGGATAATATTAACTGTCGGCATCTGTTTTTGCAATTTTCTCTGATTAAATAATTTAAATGTGAGTTAGTATTCATATATTAAAGAGTACAGATGGCCAAAGGTAATATGAATCATTAGGGATACCTAATGATTTATAAATGTATGAAGGTTTTTTGCCTATTTCACAATTTTTTTGTATAGTGTGACTTGCTATTTTGAAGGTTATCTTTCAGAAAACTTCATCCTGAAATTTATCACAGTGTGGTTATTGTATGATGTGCTGTCAAAATAGCAACTAATGCCATTGAGCAAGGACATGTAATCAGAGTAGCTGGGCACCATGGAATCATTCTCGCTCTTCCACACAGGCCCATCCAAATCTTAAGCTGCTCCCAGTTTATTCCTGATATAACAAGTACACAAGGAATGTGACCTGGTCATTTTTTACCCTAAGACGAGGTTCATTAGTATAGGACCTATATGGGAAGTATACTTAATATGTCTCTGCATTTACTTTGCTGAGTTTTGGAACCTAATTTGAAAGTCTAAAACAATTTTTCAGTAATACATAATTTAATTTCAGGACAATTCCTGTACCTTGAGGCCACTGCAATAGGCCTAAAAAATGAAAAAGCCCATGTGAAGAGTTCCAGATGGAAAGAATCAAGTGGGACTTGTGTGATGAGCTTCTGGTACTTCATGTCATCAAAAGCCATGGGACATATTCAGGTTCTGATTAAGGTAATAAACCAAACTTTTTATTTTGAATATCTGATATCTGTAAGGGTACATGTGCTCCAGCAGAGTACTTTGGCACTCTGACGTTCTGCTGTTCGGCTTGTAGATCGGAAGAGCTCGCACACACCTCCTAGTTCAGTGCTGGTTTTTATTATTCTAGTCTCTTAAAAATGCTTTTACCATTTCTCTTCCACAAGAAGTTTCTCTGAAAAGCCACAGAAAATCTTTTTAAAACCTCTTTCCATTTTCCCTTGTCACATACAGTGCCTTTCTCTTTGATATTCTCCATGTGAGAGCTATTTTCATATTTTGCTGCCATGCCTATTGGTAGCTATCAGTATATTACCCTATTGTTCTGATGGGATGATATGCACCAAAAAAATGAATTAGCAACCTGTACAAAGTAAGAATAAAATGCAAAATTATGACTATATAAGTTATAGATCTTTTTATGTAGACAGGTACAGAATATATAATCAATTTTCTTTAAAAATGGCATTTTCTTCACTAAATGTGTGATGACCAAAAAATTATGAAAAAAAAGAAACAACTATTTAGTTATTCAGTTACAAATGAAAACTGATATGTTCCTTGAAAACTGGCTGTTTCATTTGTTGTTCATTAAAAAGAAAAAGGATTAAATGCTTGTAAAAGCAAGTTTTAAATCATAATATGATTCTGAATAAAATGTAGAAATTAATGATCAGTGCAGCAAAAGCACATATTTCACCTCCCTGTGCATGCTATGCATTTTAATGCCATTGGGCATTTTAATGGTGTTCCAACACAATGGCCAAATATACCACTTCTAGATGCAGCAGAAACCTTTGCAAATGAGAGTTTGTGTATTTGTGCTTCCCTGTATCTGTGTAGGGAGTTCTGGCTATTCAAGTATAAATCATGGTGCACTTTATTTGTCATATGTCTATTAATTTCTCTTTCTTCAGTATCTCTAATAAAATCTTGGGATAGAAATTAATTTGGTGAACTGCATTAAAAATTCTGTTTTCTTTCCAATGTACATGTTGACTGCCTTCAATTTTAATGATAAATCATATTTCATCCTTGAAAATAAAGTGCTAAAAATTGTTTCTCAAATGTTCTGGATATTATAAGAATAATTCAAAAGCCTGGAAAAAAAAATGCTTCAATAGTCTTTAACATCTAAAGACACAACTTAGGCTAAGTCTGTCTGAAATAAAAAAACAATGAGCCTTTTGACAGACATTAGGAGATTTTTTCATGGATTAGTCCAAACACCTACAAATGACAATAGTCCCCTCATCAAGTAGCTGTAATTAATGGGATGTATTTATACAGCTATTTTTCCTAGAAAATCTCAAATCCATAAAGAGGGCAAGTAGATTAAAAAAAAAAGTAAATTTGTTGTTTGAAAATAACTTCTCTTTCATAATGTATTCAAAAAGGAAAACAAAAATAGATCCCATTACTTAAAATGAATAAGCTGCAAAAATAAACATTAATTTTGACTCAAAGTTCAAAGTATCTTCTCATCGCGTTATTCAAAGGTGTATCTTGTACCACCCAAATATTGTAATTATGACCATTTTAAGATTGTTTAGTTTTAATTGTAAACTAACTTACAAACTAACTTTGGTGGAAAATAAAGAGCAGCTGCGTTAGATATGTGTGAGTAGTTTGCACTTAAATTATCACTGTTGATTGCATACAGTAATTATCACATTAAGTATGTTGCAACATGGAGAGTAGCCTTAAAAACATAATTATATCTCATTTTATTACATGCAGTGAAATTAATAATACACAATCAAATACTTCTGTTAAACAGGAAACAAAAGAGGTGAAATAAAAGAAAATCAAACCAACCACACTACCTAAAATGAGTTAAAAAGAGACATTTATTCTCTGTTGGGATACTGTCTCTGAAGGGTTCAAGTCCAGTAGTTAAATTCTTAATTATTTTTTCCACCCTTGGGATGGACAAAGGGATTTAATTATTTTTTACATATGACCTGAGCAGAGTTTTACTAAATAGTTATCCCCATTGAGATTCTTTTCTACTCTCCATCTAATATTTGTTTGAAATATCATGTTTTAGATATGTTTTAATGTATAATTTTATTATACTAATAAACTTTTCAGACATTATTTTCATGTTATTTTAAATCCTTGCTACAGGGATCTTAAAGAGATTTTTAAAGGTAGTGTAAATAGAAGACATTTGAGTAATGATTTACTATTCTTATTCAATTTTTTAAATGAAAGCAAGAATTTTGCATGGAGGTAGGAAAAATTATTCTCATTATTGTATCCCAGATTGTATTGCAGATCGGCCTAGCTGACCTGTTATGTTGCTTATAGGGATTTGTAAGTCAGTATTATAGAGTTTCTATTTAGCAGTGTCTGTATGAATAAAATCTAATTAAACAACACATAGTCATGGGAAGTCATACTGAAGCTACTCCTGCTAGCTCAAACTGCAATACCAAGATATTTCCATGCAGTTTGAGTATCTCTTGATTTAAAGTTAATGTCAGTGAAAGCAGATCAGTAGATTTGTGATTAGTAGAAAATGCAAGGAAGAGGAGATGACCTGGGAAGGAATCTACCATTTCAAGTTTGACAAGTTAGCAAACTGCCTCTAGCTAAAGTCATCATGTCTGTTAAAAATTGAACTGCGAGTGAACACCATACCCACCAATGGCACAGTAATGAACAATACGACGAGGAAATGTCGTATGGAGGCAGAATGAGGAAGACATTTCTCCTCCTCCTGAATATCACTGTGGAAGAAAAACAGTAATCTAGCATAAAAAGCCATCTTTTTAAAATCATAGTTCATGGTATGTATTGGTGTCTTCTCTTAATGTTCGTGTTGCTTGTCCACATTCAGGAAGCTTAAGAATATTATCTATCATACTACTAAAGTATGATATAACCAATAAAACTGCAGGATCATAAAAGGGATACTATAGCCAAGCATGAACTTTTATGTTAAGGTTTGCAGTCACAGAGAAAACTCATTTTCTAAGGGAATTTTGCTGCATTTACACTGGGGGTTTTCTCCTTGAATTGTACTACATATTCTTTGTACAGACCTCTCTGTATACGGAATGATAATCCAATCAAAATTATGGGCCATTGAACTAGTTGCAAAAGTACAGTATTCTTCAAATCAACCCCCTCAACATTTATACAAATGAAAGATGTTGACATTACAGCTGTTTATGGAGGCTGCAATATCCAACTCACCATCCAGCTAAATTAAAATTACAAATTGTTTAACAGCAGTGCAAAAGCTCACCAGGCAAACAGAATATTACCAGAAGAGACCTGGGTATAACTAGTCAAAGCTTTGCTAGTGCGGTGAGATTTTGAGATACTTCTCATGTCCTCCGTGACAGTTGTAAGAGAATACAATCCGCTGCAGGAGATATTTTGAAGCTGAAGCACAGCATACTCACTATGCCTGTTCTAGCCATGATGGTGGTGTTCTTTGTCAACACTCAGTACTGGTTTATTTTATGAGTCAGAAGAAACAGTGTTATTTTTAAACGTGCTTCTAAAGAGGCAAGCAAGAATTCTGAGGTGAAAGGCATGATACATTTTACTGTTCGGCTGATCTGAACATGTTTCCTCCTGCTGCTTAAGCTGTTCCTGTCATAAAAAAGAAGCAAGTCTTAGGTATCACAGTGGGAAAGGAAGAACAATCAAAGGTTAAAAACGTTTGTTGAAGATTATTTTTGTGGGATCAATGTTAATTGCCCTGCATATAGACATTGTCATTAAAAAAGATAATTTAGGATTTAATCCACTTAGGGGGGGCCTCTTCCAAGGATTTCAAACAAGCCTCTCAAAAAAAAATATGCAGACATATAAGGAAGGTGAAACCTGCCATTAGTAACTACCTCCGCTGACTGTGACAAGGCCAAGATACAAAGGATCTCATTAGGAAGTTCCAGTGGACCTTACTCAGGCATTTAATTAATTCCATCCAGTTACAAATGAGCAAAGACATAACGATATTCAGGAGGACAAGAGGTCCTGGCCAGCTGGTGGCAAGGGAAGCACTCCCACTGCTGTAGGGATGGACTAACCTGGCCAGGGCAAGGGGCAGCTGGAGCCAGGAGCCAGCACCCTCCAGCTGCTCCGGGCTGATGCAGCACAGACCCTGTCAGCTGGCTGCTGCGGCTTCCCAGCAAAAGCTGGAAGCCGTCTCCGTTGTTCCCTTGGTGCTCTTATTGGTTTTAGCTAGCCTAAGGTAGAGAGGAGGGGAGAGGGCTGGTACTGTACAAATGTATGGCTTAGCAGGGGCCACAGCCCAAGTATAGATGACTCATGGTGGGTTTTGTAATTCCCTGGTTATTTTTAGTGGAGGAGCCTACTGTCCTGGGCTGTCAACAGAAAAACCTGCAGCAGAGAAGCTGCAGGTGCCAGCTGATATCTTCTGGACTTCTGTATTTCTAGGATCGAGTAGTTTAAAAAGAAATTTTCACAAATCGATATCATTGATGCTACTTCTATGGGAAGTCATTCAAGAATAAAGTCTGAGGAAACAACTTATTCTACTTCACAGCTTAAAATAGACCGTGTATTTCTACATTGATTCTTCTTACTGACTGCATGAAAAACAATCAACTCCTCACATTAACGTAGAAGTTACAGACTTCATTGGTTTCAGGTAGCCTCAAAGCAAATTATCTGACCTCCATGCAGCTAGAGGAAGAAATGTTAAATTTTCAAAGATTTGCTTGAATGTTTTACTTAAGAGTCTGCTGAACTTCAAAGGATGCTCCAAACAATGTACAAGATGTAGATTTTTCACCTCCCCTCTTCAGACATAACAGACTTTTCAGAGAAATTCTTTAAGTCTAAGGCAGAAGTGTAAAGTTTTCTAGTATTTGTATATGGGTGAAATAGATATATGAACCTATCTAGCTGTATGTTCAGTAGCTTACATTTATCTTTTTTTTTTCCTTTGAATCCTAGTGTTTTGTTTATTTCAAATAGTTTTCCTTTAT